TTTAAGGTATTCAAGATATTATCATATACCAATGAATGAATAATGTGCCATTGCCCACCGAAATATTGGAGTTTACCATAATTCTATCGGTTATGTTTAAGGTATTCAAGATATTATCATATACCAATGAATGAATAATGTGCCATTGCCCATCCAAATAATGGAGTTTACCATAATTCTATCGGTTATGTTTAAGGTATTCAAGATAATATCATATACCAATGAATGAATAATGTGCCATTGCCCTCCCAAATATTGGAATTTACCATAATTCTATCGATTATGTTTAAGGTATTCAAGATATTATCATATACCGATGAATGAATAATGTGCCATTGCCCACCCAAATATTGGAGTTTATCATAATTCTATCGGTTATGTTTAAGGTATTCAAGATATTATCATATACCAATGAATGAATAATGTGCCATTGCCCATCCAAATATTGGTGTTGACCATAATTCTATGGGTTATGTTTAAGGTATTCAAGATATTATCATATACCAATGAATGAAGAATGTGCCATTGTCCACTCAAATATTGGAGTTTAGCATAATTCTATTGGTTTTGTTTAAGGTATTCAAGATATTATCATATACCAATGATTGAATAATGTGCCATTGCCCATCCAAATATTGAAATTTACCATAATTCTATCGATTATGTTTAAGGTATTCAAGATATTATCATATACTAATGAATGAATAATATGGCATTACCCACCCAAATATTAGAGTTTACCATAATTCTATCGGTTATGTTTAAGGTATTCAAGATATTATCATATACCAATGAATGAATAATGTGCCATTGCCCACCCAAATATAGGAGTTTACCATAATTCTATCGATTATGTTTAAGGTATTCAAGATATTATCATATACCAATGAATGAATAATTTGCCATTGCCCACCCAAATATTGGAGTTTACTATAATTCTATCGGTTATGTTTAAGGTATTCAAGATATTATCATATACCACTGAATGAATAATGTGCCATTGCCCACCCAAATATTGGAATTTACCATAATTCTATCGGTAATGTTTAAGGTATTATAGATATTATCATATACCAATGAATGAATAATGTGCCATTGCCCACCGAAATTTTGGAGTTTACCATAATTCTATCGATTATGTTTAAGGTATTCAAGATATTATCATATACCAATGAATGAATAATGTGCCATTGCCCATCCAAATATTGGAGTTGACCATAATTCTATCGGTTATGTTTAAGGTATTCAAGATATTATCATATACCAATGAATGAATAATGTGCCATTGCCCATCCAAATATTGGAGTTGACCATAATTCTATCGGTTATGTTTAAGGTATTCAAGATATTATCATATACCAATGAATGAATAATGTGCCATTGCCCACCCAAATATTCGAGTTTAGCATAATTCTATCGGTTATGTTTAAGGTATTCAAGATATTATCATATACCAATGAATGAATAATGTGCTATAGCCCACCTTAATATTGGAATTTACCATAATTCTATCGGTTATGTTTAAGGTATTCAAGATATTATCATATACCAATGAATGAATAATGTGCCATTGCCCATCCAAATATTGGAGTTGACCATAATTCTATCGGTTATGTTTAAGGTATTCAAGATATTATCATATAGCAATGAATGAATAATGTGCCATTGCCCACCCAAATATTGGAGTTTACCATAATTCTATTGGTTATGTTTAAGTTATTCAAGATATTATCATATACCAATGAATGAATAATGTGCCATTG